GGTGAAAACAGGGGGACCCTTGCCCCCCCCCCCCCCCTATTTATAAAGTAATTGACCACTGCCCTAAGTCATCCTCAACCTAAATTAATCACACATACATCCTAAGGTCATATGTTCAGAGTTACTTCCCAGCCAGTGTCATGTAAAGGTCAAATCTGATATATTTATTTGTCCGTCGGTTTTATTTACGTCTGTATGAGTTCCAGTCATTCTGTAATAAAGTGCATTTCTGCCAATCATGTCCAATAAAGCTGATGCTTTCAGAATGTTATTTTCTACTCCAGGTAAAGTAAAAGTACTTCCATCTCTAAAAAGCTGAAATAATATAGTTTTTCTATAACCATATAAAGTTTATCCAAGGGGCTATGTGGACCGGCTTCGATGGGCAAGTGCAGAGTTCTTTTGACATCGGTTTGAGACATTCTGAGATTATCCAAACGTCACTGCAGATGCTGTTGACCTGCTTTAGCTGCTTTTACGTTCCCATAGATCTGTATGGGGAGAAATGTAGTCCTGGAGCAAACAAAAGCCTGTCAACGCTGGCCCTAAAACTGTTCTTAACTTACTACCCCTTTCTGCATTACCATGTACCCTACAACAATCCAGTGTGTCCCCAGGATTAAAAAAAAGTGTAATAGTGGGCACATTTATTAAGGGCTCCTTTTAACATTTCTTGTCTGTTATGACGTTAAAATATTCAGTTTGAATGGATAGTCAATGCATCACAGCAGTGGATAAGACATCGTGGTGCTATTTTTGTAATGCAGAGTACCATAACACATGGGATGTGCGTTGTGGTGTACTGTCAGTTACTGTACTTGTGCATTGGGATAAATGGCATCGCACAGCACAAAGTCACATGCATTAATGTGGGATAAAACATGCATTAAGGCTGACTTCACAAAATTGTGAAGTCAGACTTGAGGACAGCAAAAACTTGTACCAAGTTGGTTTCAGTCATGTACAGTATGCAGTAGCCAGATGTAATATTTATTACATAAATCTGACCCATTTAAAAATGTGGTAGCCTTAGAACCAGTCATGCTTGGGGTCAGCTTTGCCTTCCTCTTTTTTTGGAAAGGTAGGACATTCTGAAACTGTAAAAGTCCGATCTGACCAGTACATTGATTGACTACTGCTCCAAGATATTGCATCAACGGTGCAGCAAAGATTGTATGTTCTTTCTCTGTGGCCATTGTCTACATTCTTACTGAATTAGTTAAGAAATAGGGGAGGAAGATCATTGAGCCATATTACTGCATTATATGTCTAGCTCATACTACCCTGCTGTATCCCAAAACTGTACTCAGAGAAACTCAAAGCTGTAGAGGGCTATTGCTGACCTTTTGTTCTGAAAATACTAGCTGCCTGATTGTCATGCTGATTCATTGGCTGCAATAGTTTCTGAGATACTGACCCAGAATGAGTATTGACATCACTCCCACCGATCAGGCTGAATACTTCATTAGGTCAGTGATTAAAAGTACTGCAAGACAAAGTCAGACAACTAACATTTTCAGAGGTGGGTCAGCAATGGCAGCCTATGTTTCCCTTAGTTTTTTTACAAGTGTGCCTAGCATCCTGAGGCCAGCCGACCACTATTAGAATAAATGAGTAATAGCAAAAAAGCCAAAAAGAGAACCTG